GATAAAATTAAAAAATCTCTCAATAAAAAATTAACAAAAGGACCTCGAAAAGCTGTCACAATATTTCAGTCCAATTTTACTTGGTTATAGTTAAACGAGACGAGCCCGGCTCGTTAAATAAACGAGCTCGAACTCGGCTCATTAAGATTTCGATTTCGAGTCGATCTCGAGCTTTTACGAGCCGAACTATAAAATATTATATAAAATTCTATTTTCGAGCCTTAAAGAGTTTTATCGAGTCAACTTGGGCACGGCTCATTAACAAAAGGAGTTTTAAATGAGTTCGAGCTCGGCTCGTTAAAGCCTCAAACTCAAGCCGAACTCAAGCATTAACGAGTCGAGCCAGACCCGTTTAATTTAACAACACTAATTCCTACCCATTTCAATTCACGAAAGATAATTATATGATTTAATCTAAGCTCTTGCTTGTGTGAAATATCACTTAAGTAGTTTGACCCCTCTTGAGCTAAATTGCAAATTAATTTTAATATCTATCTTGTAACGCCTCATCTAATTATGTTATACTAACAAGTGTCCCGTGCGATGCACGGGATAAAGATATTAAATGAGTTATTTTTAAAGTATCTTTCCGTTTAAGTCTAAAATCCGATAGGGTTATGATTTATTTTTCACTTCTTTTAATTAGCGTTAAGTCTAAAAAAAATAGAATTATAATCTATTTTCCACCTCTTTTAAGCATCATTGATATTTTTGCCACAACATTATTAATTATGAGCATGTTATGGCTAGCTTGTAAACTCATTAATATATTATCTCACTAACACATTTATGCTAATATAAATTTGATTTTAGTATATATATTTATCCTTTGATATAAGAGAAAATAACATTTTTACTTATTTTTGTTCATCATATATATCTTAATTATTATTTATTAGAAACTTTATTGTCATATAATGTCATTATTATTTATTAATGTTATAGAAGTTGTACATCTTTTTTTATTTTATTTTATGAAATGAAAATATTTAATGCACGTTAGTATCATTTATTTATGTAATCATTTTAAAATATGTAAATAAATTTGAAATTAAATAGTTTATAAATATTTTACAAAAATATTTATAGAATTCAATTTTTTATATTAATTAAACAACTTTGTATACACATGTCCGTCCAAACTTAGAATGAGTTTTCATTTTTAAACCAATGATTTTATGAAATCTGCTAGGAAGGAAAAAAAATATACTCAACAAAATTATTAGCATAAAATAAGAGATTATGATGATATCAATAAAATGGTTTGATTTTCAATAAATTCAAAATGTACACAACACATAATTCGTGAATATTATTCTTTACAGCAAAAACTGACAATATGGCATGCAAACAACAACCGAGATTATGACAATGTATTTAATGCTTATTTTTATTTTTATATGAAAACACTTAAAAATAATACATAACTTGCTTTTTTAGTATGTAATTAATGATTTTGGCAGGAAACTATTTATAAAAATTATTTAATCTTATTCTTATTTTATATAGATAGATTTGATTCTATTCTTTAAATAACTTCAAATGTAATCAGATACATGATTAGTCAAATAGTGAACTGAATATTGTGGTAACTTTGAAAAATGAGTTACTCTGATTAGTGGATTTTTTGGGTATATCTTTTGTTATTTTAGTCTCGTTTTATAATTATTTGATTACTTTATTTGTATAACTTCGACATGAAATATTTATAATTAATTTGTTTTTTATTTTCAATTATTATTTAAGTCGTATATATTGCATAACTATATGTTAAAAATAATTTTTTTGTGTTGAAACATGGTACTTATATATGTACATAAAAATTTGTAAATAATTTTTCATTAATGATTAAACTTTGTATTATTTTTTATTAGCATTCCTATTTAAATCATGATTATGGTAAAAAAAATTAACAAAAAAACTTTCACGTGTAAAAAATTAATAAATAAAAAAAAAAAGAATGTTTCTATGATAATGAATTTGTTTATATTTCCTTTACCGCAATCCTCCAAAGAAGCGTGTTACCATAAGTATCTCAAGCAAAAGTTGAATATGACAATAATTTACAAATTGATTTCCTTTTTTTCACGCCTAATTATCTCAAGCCAAATCTGAATTTGACAAATAAATTACAATCATTTCCTTTTTTTTTTAATTGGAAAATAAGAGATTTATTTGGATTTTGATTCGATATTGGCTGCCAATATAAAATTAGTCGATTAGATTCCTAGAAAAAAAAAAGAAAAATCCGATATGCTAATAAATCGTGATTTTGTTAATTTGCTGTTTTAAGGCAATAATTAATGAAATTGGGGGGAAAGAGTTTCTAAAAGTGAATTATGTTAATCCTTATTATATATTAGTAGATTTTGTGAATTTATCATTATCATGGGTTTTATTTTTAAATCACTATAATAATCTGATGAAATTCTAACGGAAATATATTCTAATGAAATTCCTATGGCAATTCCAATGAATATTTCACTGCTATTATTTCTGTTAGAATTTTTCCAATGAATTTCAGCGGAAACTTTCAACAAAAATATTCCAATGGATTGAGTTTTCCATTGGAATTTCTGTTGGATTTTGACGATTCCAACAATACATTTTCCAACGGTTGAAATAAGGGTGAAAACTAAATTCCAACTGAAACTCCTACGGTAAAAAAAAAAGAAAAAAAAACTGGAATAATAGTCGTTGGAATGATAAAATTCCATCTAAATTTCAACGAAACTCATTACAACTAATTCCGTTGAAATTTTCGTTGTAATAATTCCAACGGAACTAGACCATTGTAATATCCGTTAAAATTTGCACTGTAATATATTACTGTAGAATTTTCCGTTGGAA